CTCTCTCTCTCTCTCATACACACACACACACACACACACACACACACACACACACACACACACACACACATTCCTGTATGACAGTCAATGTGAGGACTAAGTAATTTAACCTGCAAAATGAGGACCACCATTTCTGCCATAACTACAGGTAAATGTATACTATATTTCAACACTAGGTGTCTCCGTGATTCACATTTTCACCTTGGCTACAAGCTGAGTGAGGACATTTTCATGAGGGCACTATTGAGTTCGTTTCTGACTGAATTATTTTAAGTACATTCTTTTTATTTATTTATTTGTTTTATTGTGGACAGCTTTGAGTCATTATTGAACTGAACTGAACTAACATCAGCTGAGTAATGACTCCGAGCATCTTACATTAACTGTTCATGAGGTAGATTGCCTGGGGAAAGAAACTGTTCTTGTGCCTGGCTGTCCTGGTATTCGGTGCTCTGTAACGCCGACCAGATGGCAAAAGTTCAAAAAGGAGATGGCTTGGATGTGATGGATCCAGAGTGATTTTCTGAGCCCTTTTCCTCACTCTGGATGTATACAGTTCTTGGAGGGTAGGCAGGGGGGCACCAATAATCCTTTCAGCAGTCCGAACCGTTCTCTGTAGTCTTCTGATGTCTGATTTTGTAGCTGAACCAAACCAGACAGTTATTGAAGTGCACAGAACAGACTCGATCACGTTAGAAATTAACGTTAGAAATTAACACTAATAAGCCTCTCAACATGAAGGCCAACAGAACAACTGGACATGATGTTTAGCTTTTAAAACAGAAGCATTCGTGAAGCAGACCTCCTTTTCATAGCAACAATTGTATTGTAGACAAAGTTCTTAACATCCTTCCAAGAGCGTTCTTTCAGGACCTTTTCCTCTTCTAGGCACTTCATGCAGTCTGCTTTTCCAGGAACTCTGCGCTCTGCCACAAACCTTGCTAGATGTTCGTTTACTGTGCTTCTCTCTTCTTCACACCATGGTCTCTTCACTGTTATCCTGGTTGTCTCTACAAATGACAAGACAGACAATATAGATTGTAAACCATAAAAAACAGAGACCAAAATGTAACTTTCTTAAACTGCTTTTGCTTGCACACAGTCACAGAAAGTAAGT